TTTTCCTTTAATTTGTCACCCAATGGAATCTGCTAACCAATGCAATTTATTAAACTCAGACTTAAGAAGTCAATTTGTTGACAGGTTTATGCAAGAGGTGAAGGAAAGACAACATATTTCATGAGGTGTAACGTCTGCAGCCGTTTCAGGACAAACACCTTGAACACATCTGTTTACATCAGTCTGCTAATAACAGCTGCAGGTTGCTCGTCTTCCTCCTTCCAGCAGCTGTAAAGCTACTGTGTTGTGACGTGACTGGATTAACCCCTGGTATCTACAGACAGAGAGCTTTAACCATGGAGCAATAAGACCAATACCAGCCAGACATGGGTGTGGTTTCATGCGGGCACGAACAGACAACGGATGTGTGACACAAACAGCCCAAAGCAGATGTTGAAACATCGCATGATGTGTGATATCATGTGACATCACAAAAATGCGTGTGGGGTGAAGAATTTTCACAAGAATCTGCACCACAGTCCACCTGCCTCACTCTGCCTCAGATGAGATGACATTAATGAAGACTTTCGATGTTTACAGCTTTGTAAAGACACCCGGAGAGAGACTAAAATCAAACCGGAAACTCAAACGTTAACCATTAAAATGACTTACAATATCCCTATACGTTTCTTTCGTTATTCTTGAAACTACACCACGCAAACACTTCTTTTCTATTTTATCTTTTGTTTGTAGTCGAGTCTTATTCCACGAGCTACACTACTAAACCCATTCAAAATCTTGCAACAGTTTTTAATCGTTGCCTTTATTTTGAAGGGCGCGCCGGATGTGTAAGTGAAAGCTAGCTAGCTTAAAAGATGAAGTTTTGCTCGAAGTTTTTTTTTTATTATTCCTCAATCTTGTGATCTTAAGTGAAGGCGAGGAAATCGAAAGCGTGAACAAATACAGAAAGCCCTTTGCTGTAGGGCAGCTCTGTAGCACAATATTCATCTTTTTCCAGCGTTTTCTTATTTTAACGCAAAGACTCCAACAGTTCTGCGTTCCGTTTGCTAAGGAAAAAAGCGGCAAATTTAATAAAATATATTTGCATGAAAAAACAACAACCCAAAAAGTCTTTAATAAGAGTTCCAGAGTGATTTACGACTGCAGAAGTAACTGCATTTCAGCAACGAGTTAGCTGTAACTAATTATATTCACCTGGAAATGGTTGTGTTTTGGTTCGGGCTCCCTGGCTGCTTCACTCCGCGTCTCTCGCTCTTTTCACGGGTGGTTTTGGCGTGTTCTCCCTGCTGTCAGCTCGGTGATGTGAGGACGTTTCTTTTGGTTACTTTGCGACCCTAAAAATAAAAACCACACAGAAACAGGCAGGAGGAGCTTCTGCACTGCTGTCACACCGACCAGCCCGCCTTCACCGAGGGAGGATATGCGTTCACGTACCGCTCAGACAAACCACTCCTCTCTCCTTTAATCATTTTT